GTTCTGTTCTGTGGTTGGAAAAAGTGTGGCTTATCTCAGAATACACCACATACACCATACACCATGCATTTTGTAGGCTGCATTGTGGTGTGTTTTGGGAGGAGAGCATTGTTGTGTGTTCTTAATAGAATATATTCACTTATGACACAGATATAACAAAAATTTATACTAGTACCATTGGTCATGCATCAACACATTATTCAATGTGTATGTTATATGAATCATATTCTACAATTAATTAAATGAAATTTTAAAATTAATTTATATAATTAAACCATCACAAAATCAATATTTAAAAAACTGACTAATAGGCAGAATCGTTTTTTCGACTGTGCAAGTCAATGGATCAAATTGTGACACATCATCATTATATATAAGTATATAAATAATTATAGACACACACACATGCACACATACATACATATATATAAACACATAATTGATCAATAAATAATATATAATTGTATTCTACATGTAATATATGTATTATTTTATATTTAATTTATATTTTTACTTTTTATTTGTAAGAAATATTAAAGTGCAATTTTAGATAAAAGGGGTTTTTTCACAAAAATAGTGGGGTAAGATGCCTTGGAACACATAGATTTTGAAAAATTACCAAAATAAAAAAAAAATCACTCCAATCAGACATCAAAGCACAAGGTTATGGCCTTTGGAAGTTTGTATGCACATTTAGTGTGTAACTTGTGACCCGATCAGGTCAAATAGGTAAACGGGTCTAATCATCTGGGTTGAACAGTTTTTGACCAGATCAACAATTTTGACCAATTCTCGGGTTTTAATAGAACCGGACCTGGAATCATGTTTAGGTGACAATTTGAACTAGGGCTATAAACATATTGGATTCGGATCGGATTCAACAAATCTGAATATGATCAGATTATTGAAAACTTGCATATGAATCCGATCTTAATCCGACTTTGCTTTAATTTTTAAAATACAAGAAATATAGAAAGTTAATTACTTTTCAACTTTTATATGTAATAAATGAATGTATATATAATATATTGAATTTATTATATATATTCATATAAATATAATATATAAAATATATATTTTGTAATTTTAAATATAACTATATAGATTTTATTAAACATAAATAAAAATATATAAGTATTATAGAATAATTTCATAATTAATTAAACAAAATATTGAGAGAGAGAGAGAGAAAGAGAGAATGGCAGCATTGTACCAATGGTGAACTGATGGAAGCCTTGAAAAATGTGGTTGAGAAGCAAGGAATCAGATAAAATATTGAGCATGGGTGTGGCTCATTCCTAAACACAAAAAATGGTGTGGCTGGAATGGCACAATATTTTGTGTTCCAAAACCAGTCATGGCTTGTTTTGGAATGTGCCCTAGAATCCAACCATGGTGCATTTCAAAATTTTTACTGCACATTATATAAAAATTTGAACCAATCACATTTAAGACATCATGTGGTCCACTTACTTTTCATGGTTCATCTTGTTTAATGTATTTTCACGTTTCACAAAGTGTAATTTTGCACCTTAAGCTAAGTTTGGAAAGAGTATAAATGCAAATATGTAGAATGCAAAATCTTATATTTTGTATAAGGCTCAGTTTGGAAGCATTACAAATGCAAATATATATAGTATAAATACATACAAAATAATGCAAAATATAAGATTTTGCACTCTACATATTTGCATTTATACTCCTTCCAAACTCAGCCATAAAGACTTTACCATAATTATATTGAGGATTTTGTATGAGATCATTGTTTTTAGTTTCAATTCATACATATGTGGGGCAAAACTGATATTTTATTATCATGGGCATTTTGGCAAAATATATCTTAATTATGTCTCTTCTGTTAACAAATTATAACAAACCCTCTCTCTCTCTATGAGGCTAGAGACTGTAGGGAGACGTCGCATGTTTCCTCTTTGAATAATAATCATAGTGTCGATGACCCAGTAGCTTAATTGGTCACTCATAGAGTTGCAAGGTTAAATCCATAGATCCATAGACTCTCTGTGGTAAAGTCAGCAGTGGACCTCACAACCGCACTCTGCTTTGTCCCATCCTTAACTTCTCTATAATGTGTTTAATTTATGTGTTATGTAATATCATAAAAAGACAATAAGTAAATATATATAATATAATCTTTCTGTTAAATTCTCTATTTATACAAAATAAATACAAGGGAGATGTTTCAGATGTTTTATGATGCCTTCCTTAATCATGAGGTATTCTTCGGTTTCTCATCACATGTCACCCCTCATCCTATTATCATTTGTCTTTTCATTTATTCTCAAAACAACTTCCTCACAAATAGCAGCTACACAAATAATGTCATTTGCTGAAAAGGTCTCAACTGTTTGATCTATTTGAGATCCGAGTTTCGTGCTAAGTTGCCTGTATTATTTCATATGTCAATTATAAATATGTTCACTGTAAAATCTTGCATTTGCATTTGCACTTGCACTATATATATATATATATATATATAATTTTCAAATTCAGTCTAAGAATAAATCAAACCTAATTTAGGGTTTCCTTCTGATAAGTCTTTTTAGAAAACCTTTGGGGCTTTGAAAAAGATTGCTAGACCAAAAATGGTCTTTTTCGTTTGGCAGCGAAAGTTGGGAATCTGGAAAGACCTGCATCCTAGAAAACTCATAAAATCCCAAAATGGCAAAGAATCAAGAAGCTTCTAACCAAGATTCCCATCTTTCCGCTCTTAAAATCTTTCATTTAATAGCTTAATAAGCCATAGCAGATCAGGGCATTTACTAAATAGCCCCAAATCATTAAAGACAGTACCCCAAAAGCTCAATTCATCTCTTACAATCTGAACTATCTGAAGATTTTCCTAAAAAGACTATTGGTCTATATTTTATCGAAGTCACAAGTGGGATCGAGCGGATCTGCTTAATTACAATAAATAGGGAGAAGTACCAATCAGCCCAGATCAGAATTTTCTAGGCCCAAAGTACAGGGGGAATGCATTCTGATCGTGAATTGATGCCAAATTCATAGACAGGATGTGGTTTATAGGGGGGAGGGGCTGGAATTCAGAATTCTGCATTGTGTGTAACCGTACTTCTCCGCAACAAATAAGGCCAAGGCTAGACACATCATAGGTTTGTACCACCTATATAATATTCACACTTGAGAGCTTTCAAAAATTAATGCGAGTAAATGCACGCCCTAGAGTTAGAGATAGATTCTTGTTTTTTTTTTTTTGGTTGCGAGAAGATCTAATAAATTTGTACAAGATAGCATGAAAATGATAGGTATGGATCTGGTAGTAACAAAACACTAATGCTAGGCATGTGGACTTTGCACATTGTCATGAGGACTTGTGACACAAATTTGTGATGCACCCAGCATAATTTGTTATTGGTAAGGATCAAAATATTAATACGTCCGATATCAAAAATTGGGTGTCGGTGCATATAAATAAGACCGGTATTTTGTTTTCTTTTTCTTTTTATTTTTTAATTTTTATTAATCCAAAGAGGGAAATGCCTTCTATCATCCCAAACTTCAACCCCCAATCCTATGTGTGTTGGTGTATTCATGTGTTTCCATGACTTTGGATATGGATATAATACACCCCGATTGATATTTTGATCCTTTGTTATTAGCAGATCCCGGCCCGATGGGTGCAAGGCAGATAAACTTGACCCTCCCCAACCCATATATTGAATCTGTAGGGCATATAAACTTATATTATGCGTCAAAGTTAATAATTTTTATTTCTTTTTATCTACATATTCAAATCAAATAATTGAAAATTTTGATATGTGTTCATGTTATTATGCATGTTTATTACTTATATATAATAGAAAATAACAAAAAAAATAAAAGATTTGGATTCTGTGTGTCCGACCTATTAATTAACCCATGCCACCCTCAAATGGAGAAAGTATAGAATCAAGAAGGGTTTTGCATTTTCATGTGTAGCTAACTAGGGTTTAGATTCTATAAATCCAACCTGTAGTGGGTATGGGTTGGGAGATTCGGGGAGAATCCACAAAAACTCTACCCGCACCTGCCCTATTGGCATCCCTACATACAATGAGTTCAAATCAGCCCCCCACAACATCCCACAGTACATCCCTGCCGTGTATTGAGAACATCTCCCGGTGATGACATCATCATTTCTGAGATTATCATAGGGAGATATTCCCAATACACGGCCGGGATGTGCTGTGGGACGTTGTAGGGGCAAATCTTGTGGGGGGTTGATTTGGTCTCATGTAGAGTTCAAATCAGCCCCCCACAAGATAATTTCCCACAACATCGCATAACACATCTCCACCGTGTATTGGGAATATCTCCCGATGATAATATCAAAACTGATAACGTATCATCCGGAGATGTTTCTAATACACGGCAGAGATGTGCTGTAGGACATTATGGGAGACTGGTTTCAACTCAATAATCAACGCTTTAACCCTCCCAAACACGCCCCTATTCACAAAATCATAGTCACAGGCTCACGGCATTTCCTGAATTCCTGGGCCACCCTTTATAAGCAATTAATCACAAACCACATTTGCTACTACGGTGTCACAGCGCTGCGCTATGACACATCACAGCAAAAGTGAACTCTTATAACCAACCAACGGGGATGGTGTCCAACTGTTAATGCGTTATTGGTGGTCGCATGAAAATGCTATGACGACGGTTGCAGCAGATGTGAACTCTCATTCAAAGACCGAACTTTTGTGTTGCTAAATTTGGAAAAACTTTGGCTGTTGGCCAACAGCTTTCCTGTTGGGAGAGTTTCAGGGTTGGGCACGTTACCCTGAAAGTGGGCAAATTGGTAATTGCCTTCTGATTTTTTTGAGTAAAAACAAAAGTATGCCCGTGAATTACTGATGTGCTGTGAACGTGCCCAACCCAGAAACTCTCCCAACAGGAAAGGCTGTTAGCCGCCAACAGGACAACATATATCGATGGATACAAAAAAGTAATGTATTTAGAGAGAGAGAAAGCAGAAGGGGAGGGATAGCTTGCTTATCTTTGATTGGTCATGAAGACGCAAATAGAGGAGCAAACAAGGAGAGATCATCGTTTAACTTTGGACAACACCTCTAGTTCAGGCTTCAGAGTTCAGAGCTGTCGTTGATCGATACGAAGAAAAAGGGATGGATGGATGAAAAATTCGACGAAGTGAACTACTGAATGATCGCTTCCTACTGATCTTGTGGCCAGCCATGTGATCAGTTCTTCGATCTTGTCACTCTAGCTATTCGCACAATTTTCTTGCTATATTGTCTCCTTCACCTCTGAAGCTCGTGAATTTCCAGTTTTCATACTAAGAAGCATTTCCGGTAATTATTTTTTTTTTTTAATTTAATCGAATTAATCGGTTCTGATATTTGTGGTTTTGCTTTTTCTTTTTCTTTTAATGCTTTACTTGTTCTTGTTTTATTCTTTTTAAAGATTTTTGTTGCAGACAATGAAATTCTCTACTCCGGATTTTGAGATGGAAGACGATGCGATCACAACCTCTTGGGGGTTATATAGGCAGAATAAATTCACAGTGTATGTAAACTTCGAGCTTTTTGGTAGACATTAAAATAAGCCAAAATTTTTAGGATTTTTCTTTTCTAAATTTCAGTGGATTCTTCTGTGTAAAACAGTCCTGAAGATGAGGTAGTAGAGCTTCTTTGGCAAAATGGTCAAATAGTTATGCAGAGCCAGCGATCTCTCAGGAAATCCCTGCCAAAATTTGATGCTGTTATTCCTGCCGAAGGATCGTCGGCTGAGGAGACTCGAACAACTACGGCCGCAACAACTGCTACAATATCGTCCGAGAAAGAAGCAGTAGTTAATCCAGTCTTCATGCAGGAAGACGAGACGGCTTCTTGGTTGCATTATCCTTTGGAAGATTCATTCACTACTGATATCGTATATCCCACTCCGTCCAATGGTAGTCAGATTCCAGAAAGACGGCCAGAAAATAAACATCCAGCAGCTCCTCGGCCACCAATCCCACCTGCAACGCGTGCAGAACTGGATTCGGCTGCCAAATTCCAGCGCTTCATGCATTTCTCGTTGCCGAAGGGGAAAGGCGAAGCGAAGCCGTCGAATGCCAATAAGGCGGTGAGAGAAACGACGGTTATTGATTCGAGCGACACGCCAATGGCAGCGATCAGACCGGCGGTTGCGCAAGCATCAAGAACGACAGCGGAGTTTTCTAGCGGCAATCTGCGGAGCGAAAGTATGAGCGGTGATGGAGCCGCAGCGGCTGATGCTACTAGAGAGTTATTGAGCTGTGACCGAACCATGGCGTCGTCCTCTGGCGCCTCCGGCGCAAGCGTGGAGCCGTCAATGAAGCCGCCGACGGATGACCGGAAAAGGAAGTCGAGGAGAGACTACAATAATGACCGCCATGGCGAGGTAGGTATTCTTCTTCACGTCTTTTTTGGCGTTGCTCGTCTGTTGTTGGTTGCATCTATCATGCGCAGTGCGTGCTGCACATCTTCTAAACATAATGCTAGCATCAGACGGTGTTGAAGGGTTTGTCTAGTCTAGTCTCTAGATACGTAGCGTTAATTGTGGTCCTTGTGTATTTGTGGCTCAGAGGGAACGGGTTCAAGTGAGCCCGGGGATTCGTCTAGTACACTGCAGGCACTTAACTGCCATTAGATCAGAATAAATTCTTGATGGCCCCACAATTTGGAGCCGCAGCGAATTAGGGAATAGCACCGAGAATCAGTCAGTCCATGTTTTGGGGCCCACAGTTATGCGAACATCTGACAGCCCTGAAAGGTGTCTCTGGTCATGATCTGACCGTTATTGTTCTGTTGTTAGCGTCAGAGGAACTCATATAGATTAGACTTTTACACGTAAGACGTAACACGTATAGGAAGGACAGAGGTGGTAGGAGATCCGAAATGGGCTTCAGGGGGAAAGCAGATTAGTACTGTATTGGCAGAGAGGGAAGCCAACAGCCAAGTGATCGTGCAATAACACGTGGTACCGTAGCATCTTGGTCGATAGCCTTTTCGTGGTGTGGGAAGACAATGATTTGGGTGTTTTTGGGAAATCAGAAAAACCTCCCCTGTATTTTTTTGACAATCCTATAAATCGTCCCTGTATTCTGAATCTAACAAAACCACCTCTAATGTTTAAAAATAATATGTAAATATCACCCTTTTGTTAAATTTTTGTACATTTTTGCCAAAATACGCTTAAACACTAGCATATACCACACGCCTTCAGATTTGACATTGCAACTTTAAAACTACAAAGACAATGGAGATTATAGATTTGGTGGGTTAGGAAATAGGAAGTGTAACGGGTTTGACAGTTATTCCTTGTTCTGGCTCGAACGTTAGACACCAGATTGAAACAAAATAAATTGGGAGAATGACGTTTCAGCCCAGGGTCAGAATGTATAGGCCCAAAATATTGTTGGGATAAGTGTCATCTCCTAATTGATGCTAATTCATAGGCGAACATTGGTGCATAACATATGAATTATTGATATTTTGAATATTTATAATTCTACAGTGGAAATCAGGAATCTACATTAAACCTGTCGGTACTTTTCCCAATTCTTTATTGGGCTACAGTATACTTCTCCCTAAATTATTCTATAAATGAATTGACTGATGATGAAATGATGGAGAAAAATGAAATGGAGGCGTTTAAGAATGGATGGTCAGTGCTGTTACATGGAGAGCAGATGTAATGGAGGCATTTAGGATGTCTTCAACAAGTTCCAATCACTTCGAATCCTAGGACCAAATTTCCAATGGCGGTGTGATGCTAGAACCTGGGGTGGAACCAGGGTGCAGCATAGGGGAGTCTTCCCCTCCCCACCCCCTTAAAAGTTCCCACAATCCCTAATGATATTCGACTTATATTTTGACTCTATTCATGTTTATAAACTTTTTCTCCTCTCCCCCAATCAATATTAGCTTCTGGCGCCCCTAACATAAAATCCTGACTCGGTCCCTAGCTGGAATTTAGACGGATTTGAGATCGTCTCACAGTTTAAATCTCAAAATTTGAAAACACCTGCTTGCACTGGCATTGGTAATCAATCGAGTTATTTCAGGTGAAGATAGATTAACAGGCTTGATTTGGTTATACAAGCAGAAAAATCTGTTGATGCTGTATTGGTACAAGCCTGCGATGGTAATTAATGAGGATGACTTGTATAGTTTTGACCTACACATATATTGATGGCTTGCAGCACGTTTAGGAGATCCACAGGAATGAATTATATCAAAATTGGAAAATTATGGTAATATTAGTGCTGAATCAATTCCCTTGGCATTGGATCAAGCTATTAAAAGCGGAAAGGTTGAATTAGGTCATACAATTGCTCTTACCTGGGGTGCTCTGCTATATATTTTGAGGTGGGGTTAAGGCTTCTTGATGCATAACAGGTGCAAGAAAAAATGGCACTTGAGATGAGGAGAAAGATTACAATGAATGATTGCTGGATTGTCATGACATCAGCGTGACATCAACATCTAGTATTTGGAAGATCGTCCGGGAGGTGTAAACACATCTATGCATCTCCTCTTCGTTATTTTCCATATTGTAACTTTTTTCTTTTGTCTTTGAGCACCCCTGGAAGGAAAGAAATAGAGGAAGAATGAAAGAGGAGAAGAAATAGAAGAATAAATAAAGAACAAAGCAATTGGCGAACTGATATGGCTCCTCTCCCGTTCACCTGCGGCAGAGAAGATGAAAGTGAGAGAAAGGAAAAAAAAAAGGAGAGAAAAAAGAAGAAAAGGAAGAGACAGGAGGGAAGAAAAGGCCAGAGAGAAAGAGAAAGAGAACTCAGGGGTGATGATATAAAAATAATATATTACATCACATTTTTCTTAAGGAAATTAATAGAAGGTATTTATACCTTTTTTTTTTCAAAACGGAATGTCAGATTTTTGTTAGGGTCAAAACAGGGGTGATGATATAATTAACAAAAAATGGATTTTTTTTTTTTTTGCAATTGCTAGAACAGGCACAACACTAATATCACCCCCCCCCCCCCGCTAAAAAAAAAGTGGGAATCAAATCCGTGTCTATGCTTGAGCAGATCAGCTAAAAAATCAATTGAGTTATCTCTCAATTGGCAATATAAAGCATGGTTTTCAAACCACCGCTGACTCAGACAGTGAGATTGTTCAACCTAGAAACTATCCAAACAACCGGTTCCGTTTCACCTTTAACCCATATCTTGGCAAAAAACTGTTGACTTGGTCAGCAACCTATTGATCAGGGTGATCAAAATGTTGACCAGTTTGATCCAGACAATAGTTTTTGATCATTTTTTATTTCAATTATTTAATTTTTTTTTGCTTTTTAAATTGAAACGGATCATCCGTTTGAACCGCTGACCTAAAAACCAGTGATAAAAGTGGTTCGTTCCAGGTCAGTTTTTTAAAACATTAATATAAAGTGAATTTGAGAGTCAACCCCTTGAGATTGGATTAGATGAAGGCAATGAGCCAATGACATAGTATCATGGGGCTAGTTGATATGGCCCCGTGCGGCACTCGAAGGGACCTTGTGCAAGCATAAGTACATAGTTCAGTGTCGAAGGGACCTCGTGCTTAACCTTTACATGTTCTTAGTTCACTCGGCTACCTACCTTCCCTCAAAGAATATCTTAAGCTTTTGGGGGAATGACAAAAGGAAACATCAAAGTATTGAAAAATAATACTAGTAATTACTATAATGCTATTAGCATTTCTCCCATACAAAATACTAGTATTGCCCTACCCAAGACACACTTGATGACGTGTAGTTGGCATGTCGTGGGCACGATGATGGCACTTGATGGCGCGACAAAGAGTTTATTTGTGACGATCTCCCTCACTCAATTATGTCTTCGTCCTCGAAGACTTGCTTATTCTGGTTGCTTGGATCTATTACTGATGAAGGAGGATTCGTCGGCTGCTCCATGAACTTTGTTTCTTCCAAGGCCCTGGTACGAGGTTGGGTGGAAGGCTTGAAGGTGCTCTTGATTGTGGGAGAACCTACGGCTAGTTACCAAGTTAATTCCTTTCCTATTTGCTTCAAAGTAAGATTTTGGGTGTTCTAATTTGATGATTGGAGAAGTTAAGGCCAGGGTTGGGTCAAAATGATGCTTTGGATTCTTGGGGCATTGGTGCCATTAATGTTTTCCCAAAGGGGTTTCCTCCAAGGGCTACTAATGGTGTTGGGTCGAGGTCGAGTTGGGTTGTGGTCCCTATCTCGAGTGGTTGGCACTCTCTCTTCCATGTTGGTCTGGTAGTATATGAGTTTGTTGGAGACGGCCTTGGGTCTTCTTGGTATCTTTATCGTTGTGTAGTTGTTGCACTAACATTGGTGTTGGAACGACTTTGGTAGAGACCACTTCTTGATGATGACTTCCTGGTCTGTCCTAGTGTTGGTGTGAGATGCTAGAGTGGGCGTCTCTGTTGTTGACATGGCATTGGCACTAATGGTGTCTTCTTCCTGGTACAACTGTAAAGGTGTACATCGGGCCATGCCGCCTGCGGCCTGGCATGATTTTGAGCCGGCCCGATGGTCCACAGGCCGTACTGCGATTTTGTACATCGGGCCTCTAAGTACTGAAACTTGCTTCCCAAGTACCTTCACCACAGTTGCCACTGGGATGCAAGGAGAGCGCAAATCCAAGATGAGGTGGTCAACGTGTGGCATTAGGGCTGCTTCCGCTTTTGTTAGGAATTCCATCCCGATGACAACTTGGAAATCATCCAGGGGTACCACAGATAAGTTGATGCTTCCCTTCCAAGGTCCTACTTGGAGCTTTACTCCACGAGCCATGCCTGTTGTTGCCTTGGCACCGGAGTTGACCATTGATCCACCCTACCTGTTTGGATATAGCCAAGCTAAGTCGTCTAGCATCAGCGAGTAAAATGAAGTTGTGTGTCGTGTTCGTGTCTACTAGAGCTTGAGTCGACCTCCCGCTAAGGGTAATGTCAGCATATTTGAGCCCCTTGTGGGTTTTGTTGGGCCACTTAAATGTGGCATCTTTCTTTACCATGGCATTGAGTAGTTGGAGGGTGCCAACCCTTGGCGTCAAAGCATGCTTGTCCTCATCACTTTGTTCATCATCACTGAGCTTGGCAATGAGGGCATTGGGTTTCTTCCTTGTAGGGCAATCACTTGTCCAGTGCATTTCATTGAAAATGAAAAATGGTTGTGATGGTGTAGTCGACCTCTTGTACGTGTAGGTGTTGTAGTCTCCTTGTGGCTTCTTCCCTTTATGATACTTAGTTGGCTTGTTGTAGTGAGGCCGCTTCTCCTGTGAGGGGCTTGCTTGCTTGTTTCCCCCACTCAAGTCAGGAGCACGCAAGCTTGGAGGCTTATCGTCACCCGCTAGTCTCATGTCAATGAGTTGTTCATCTATGGCCATGCCTGTTGCAAGATCT